AACAAATGCTTTCCCAGATTGGCCTCTAATGGCAGTTCTTGTTGAACACATAGAAGGCCAGAGAGACCTCATAACCCACAAATCTATCGTGCATCTCAGTGATGAAAACATAAAGAATGTCTGTAAGTATTGTATTTCCTAATTAATTTTTTATTAGTTTTTGTGTAAATTGTGGTGGATTTTAATTGGGAATGCTTGAAAATTGTGACAATTTTTTTTGTTTTGTAGATACTTTTTACATCATGTTCACTTGTTGGGGATGCTTGTTCTTTGGTTCCATGAAGGTAATTAATCAGCTACTCTCACTTCATTTTTTTTTTTTTTCAAAATTTAATTAGGTTATATAATTTCATTAGTTTAGAGATTATTCTGAAAGGTTAGGGAATGTTTTCAGGATCCATACTATGATTCAGAGACGTATAGAGGAGATGGAGGGGATGGCACTGGATTCTGGATTTATGAGAAGGTATTTAACCCTTAATTATTACTTAAATTATGTGCATCAAACATTATTTCCACACTTTTGAGTTAGCTTAAGATTAGATATTCAGGTCATAGATTATTCAAAAGCATAGAAAATGAGGATAACACGAGCTAGCTGTAGTTTTAAGGGCTCTGACAAATAAGCTCTTCAAAACTCCATTTCTTATTAAGAAAAAAAACACTTAAATGACCGTCTTGAAGAAAAGCTTCGCCTAAACCCGACTGTTATTGCACTTGACATTAGCAGTTGCTAAGGGTCTTCTTTTTTTGTTTTTTTTTTTTTTAGTGAATAACGATATTTATTTGATGAACGAAACATATAGAGGACCAGGTGTAATGAATAGTCTAATTAAAACCTTGTCGGGCCTTTCAACCAAATAGGGTGTTTTTCTTTGTTCCTCATTGTTTAGTGACCAACTTTGGGAACTGTTTATTGCAGCAAGAAGACATAGAAGAATCAGCAAGAGCAGAGTTGTGGAGGGAGGAGCTGATTGAGGAGATAGAGCAGAAGGTTGGAAGTCTAAGAGAGTTGGAAGAGGCTGGCAAGAAGGAGGAGCTTGTCAAGTGAATCATTATGCATTGTTTAATATTGTTCCACAGTTCCACTTCCAGGCCTTCAAACATCCAGACGTTATTGTATATATACCATGTTTGAATATCGATAAATTCTCATGAAAAGAAACACCAACTTTTGGAGATTATGATGAAGTTGTTGCAATTTAACTGTCATGAATTCAGCAGTCAGGCTGCGTGCCATGACCTTTGTCAAATGTTATGCCTTTGCGTTGGATCCGATGACGATTTTTGTTAGAATGTAAGCATTCACTCCAAAACTAATTGAGAATAAGGGAAAAGGTTCAAAATGTTTAAGCTCTAAGCTAAACCTTCATCGATCCTTCGATGTAGGAAGGATACGATCAACAATTTCAACGACACACGAACAATGGTTGTATTTGGTACAGAGCAATTCATTAGCTAATTAACACTAAAACCTCACAATCCTGGTGATTTCGTTAGGGGAAAACTTACATGCAATTGAGACGGAAAAATAACAATATCTCAAACTTATCACGTGTTGTTATGTGTTTTAACTTACCTACATGGCATTACATAATTCATTTGAGTTACTGTCACCTCGATGTCCCAGTTGCATGCAAGTCCATATCATCATAAGAGAACTAAGAAAAAATAATAAAAAAAGATTAAAAAATATAAAAAAATCAGTAAAAATTTAGTAAGTTGTAAAATGGAACCTGGTGGATTGATGGATTATTGGATTATTAGGGTTATAGAGAACAATACTGCACACTGATACGCCTCTTGTTTCTTTGCTTAGTGTGGACTCAAAAAACAGTTCCAAAACTCATGGACTTGTTCTAGAAGATAGCCTTTTCCCTTGGTTTTCTTGAAAACCTGTGTTCCAAAATCATTTCCCTTGGTTTTCTTGCAAACCAGTGTTCCAAAATCACAACCTATGGGCTACCCTACCTTTTAGCACACAAAAAATGGTCCAAAATCTGTGGGCAAATAATTAAAAATATTACATAAAATTCTAGCCTATTTATCAAGCAATCCAATTATCCAAAGAGGTTCATGAACTGAAATAAACAGATCGCATGCATATGCAGATGTAATGGAGCTTAATCCATCATCTAGAATTCCAGGTGCTCTCATTGTCACGCAATATCATCCAGATGAAAAATATCCAAGCCAACTTTCTTGCATGACACTCCCATAATCTATATGTGGGTTTTTGGTCCTACCCTGTCTTTGGATAGATTTTTCAGTGTGCCAAAAATACGGTCCAGTATATTAGGTGTCACAATATAAGTAGTTGGATACTTGAAAATAAAAATTCAACCACTTATATTATAACACTTAGTGTCCTATATCGTGTTTTCGGTACATTGAAAAATTTCTCTTACTGCATGCAGCTCCGATTTGCCATTTAAATGGAATTGTTTTGGGGGATGGGGATCCTCAGCTAATTTGTAAACTTGGATAAAGTGAAATGAATATATATACTAGTGAAATGATAAGAAGACTTTCTTAAAAGCATGACTTTTTATAAACTTTCTGACACCTCATGTTTTTAGCAAAATATTTTATAATGTTAGCATTGAAATTGGCCTTAAACTATAAGGTGATAGAGAATATTTAAAGAGTCTCATTTTTAAGAGAGTCTCTTTAACGTTTCTCCATATATATTATTTTAAATTTTGATCGATCTTGACGTGATTGATCTTTTACAGTAAGTACATAATCGAGCTTCCAATTCAGGGTTTAAGTCCAAATTTTGATACTTAAATTCTAAAATCTAAATGATCGTGTCAAAAAGTAAGTTCATCAAAGTTGAATTTCGGAATGTCTAGATACATGGTCTCTATTTTGTTTTATTGAAATTATTCATTTAATTAATTTATCTTTGTTCTCCTTCAACTAAATATAAAATCAATAATCTCTTAATCCAACAACTGACTTATTTGACCAAAAAAACAAAGAACAAAAACTGACTTGCTTTCCAAGAGACTTCAGTTGAGTAAAGTGCAGAGCTTGGAACTCCTAGGAAACTCAGTAAAGTAATTTAATCAGAACTTGGTTTTCTTTCTTTTTTCCCTTGATTAGGGATCGGATTAGGCCCCTTGTACCATGACTCAGCACCCATGATTTTTAATGGGAAAAATATCATCTGCATCTCAAACCCTAGTGCGTCCATCGTGTGTTTGCAGTATATATTTTGTATTAATTTAATGTTTAACACGTATTTTATGATCATGGAGTTGTTAAATGCTGCGATTTGATCAAGATTTGTCATCATGGATTAAGCCCTAAGCAGGAGACTGACCACAAAGCATCATCATATTCTTTTGTTTATTAAGGAAGATTATTGGGTAATTACAAAAAGACAGAAAGCATTCGTGAGGATCCCATGTTTTCATGTGATCGAATGATTATGTATGAAGTTAATCTACCCTACACATATGATCAAATGCTCCCGTGTTTTCTTTTGCTAGCGTAGATGCAGAGGGGGCATTGAGAGGGAGCAAAATGTGCAGTTGCACGGGATCTCAAATTTGAAGGGCCTCAAAAAAAATTTGTCATGTAATATTATGTAATAATGTTCTATTCTTAAAAAAAAAATTTGTTTTTGTTAGTACTTTAAAATTTCATTTTGCACCTCTTATAAGAGTAATTTTTTTTTCCTTTCTAAATATAAAAATTTGGAGTACAATGAGATATTTTGTGTGCCAATAATAACATCCGAAAAACGATATATATAATAATATTATATGTTCAAGTGAAACTTCATAGTTAGAGTTTTGAAGTTTTTTGTTTTTCATGTTTGATTGTTTAAAAATGAACTGCTTTTGATTATTTAGTGAATGTTATGTTTGTAACTCTTTTTACTTATAATTAATGACATTTGTAAACTTGCATTCAGTGAGTACTAAAATTTGTTTTGATTTAAGTAACAGTTTTCTAGCATCAATGCATTGTCTTTTTGTTTTTTAAACTATCTTAAGGAGGGTTTTTTTTCAAATTTCACACAGGGTCTTCGAAATCTCAGAGACGACCCTGCGTAGATGATGGGCGTTTTAACTTTGGATCTTTTAAAATATTATTTGAATTAAAAGCGTATGAGTTTGATTTTTCCTTTCATTATAGTTGACGAACTGAGTTCCTCTTTGAGTCTCTACAACCGACAAACTTAGAGATTCGGACTTATTATGTTAAATCATGCGGACCGTATTACATCAAATTGTAATGAAAAAATAACAAAATACACTATTGCATGATATACCATACGATTATTATTGAAGTAAATTTGTTGACTACTAGGTACAACTGTTATGAAGTGGTGTGTAAACGGTAAGTCGGTAAAGCCGTATTTCTTCAATTTTTGGAAGAAAAAAAAATATGTGGAATTAAAAAACTATAAAATAAAGTATTTTATTTATGAAAATAAAATTTTGATATGCATCTCTTAATCAAAAACATAACTTTTTAATAAAAATAAATAGTCAGAATTTCACTAGCCAAAATAGGATTCTCAAAAAGAAAAAAAGTAAAAAAAAAAAAAAAAAAAAAACTAAAAACAATTCTACTCCAGCAAGTAAAACGAGAGATAAAAAGATAAATCAGATTATCCAATTTTTGATGAAGCAGATAGAGTCAGCTGCTCAAATTTATCCACTTCCATAATTTTGTGGAGAAATATCCCAATTAATATTTTCACACAAAACCAGAGCATTTGACCACCAAACATTTGCCCGAAATATAGCAAGTTTTACATTATTGCCAACTCAAATCCAAAAAATTAAACGAAAAACACAGCATATTCCTCGTTAATGACGGTAAATTACACATAAACAACAGCTATAAATCTGTGTCATTTATCAAAAAAATAATAATAATTAAAAATAAAAATAAAAAGTTTTTGGATAAGAGGAAAAATCCATATCAGAAAGACCCCACCTACCCTGTTTCAATTTTTTTTCTAAATACCCCCACTTTTTTTCCTCCTCCTCCTCTCTCTCTCTCTCTCTCTCTCGCTCTCTCAAGTTTTCAAAGAACACAACTCTGTCAATTAGGTTTTTTAGTAAAAAGGAGACATTTTTTGTTCAAAGCTTTGAACTTTTTGTTTAAAGAACAAGTTTTGTTGAAGATTTTGATTGCAAGGGGTTAATTTTAATCCATTTTTCGGCCGTTTCGATTCGAAAAAGTGGTATTTCAGGCAGAGGATCAAGTTGGTCTTGGTCGGTTTTTTTGTTTTCGCTGCGAAATCTGGGAAAAGGGCGTTTGAGTCGACATGGCCAATGCATTTGCATCACAGACTGGTTTCTGCATTTCTTCTGGGTTGGATGAAATTGCAGCTGGCTCCAAATCCCCCAAAGGGGATTTTAGGGTTTCTCCTACCTCCCAATTTAAGGATGCAAATTCAAGAGCTTTTCCTGCATTGAGTGTTGATTTCTTGGGAAAACCCTTGATTCTCTCAGATCAGGGTTTCGAGAATTGGAGGGTCAGAAAACCAAGCAATTTCTCTGTGCATGTATGTAAAGCTTTCTCCTTCTCTCTTTTTAGCTTTTAGCTTTTGCCTTTTGGCTTTTACCTTTTGTAGGATTTTTGTGTTCCCCAATGCATTTTTCTTTTCTTTTTTTGCGATTTTTTTTTAATTGGGAATTTATGGTTTTTCAGGCACAAGCATCTCTGTGTGTAAGCAGAGCAATGAGATGGTGGGAGAAGACCCTTCACCCCAACATGGTGGAGATCCATTCTGCTCAAGAACTTGTTGATTCTTTGAAGAATGCTGGAGACAGATTGGTTGTGGTTGACTTTTACTCACCTGGTTGTGGAGGCTGCAGAGCTCTCCATCCCAAGGTATATATATTTGATTTTTCGTTTATGTTTTAGCAACCAATTTATGCATTTCAGAGAGACGGACCAGCGGCCCACTAATTCCGCCTCGGAATTATGGCATTCTGGTTTAATTGTTAGGGCCTTAATCTGGAACATTATGGTGAAATTTGTTGACCAATAGTTGCCATTTTATTAGATCTGTCAGCTGGCTGAATCGAACCCGAATGCGATTTTCCTCAAAGTTAACTATGAAGAGCACAAGACTATGTGTCATGCTCTCAACATTCATGTGCTGCCGTTCTTTAGATTCTTTAGAGGTGCAGATGGTCGTGTGTGTAGCTTTAGCTGCACCAATGCAACTGTGAGTATTCCCTGCAATCATAATCTTCTTTCTCGAGCTTTAATTGCAATGAATTAGCGAAATTGTTTGTGGATCAAGAAACTGAGTCAGAATTCCTTGTTCAACAGATTAAGAAATTCAAAGATGCATTGGCAAAACACGGGTCTGATCGTTGTAATCTTGGGCCGGCGAAAGGGTTAGATGAATCTGAGATAATAAAGTTAGCTTCAATAGGTGAAATATTAACAACAACATCATCGCCATCCACGAAGGAAGAAAGATTGGAGGATCTGGTCACGAAAAGCGTAGATTTTTCGGGTGTGTGGAGCAATGAAGGCCATATCATAGAACTTGAGGAAGAAGGTTCCATGGTGAAGGTTTAAAAGCAGCTTCTCTAGGACAGTTTCCTACATGGTGTTGTTGTACATGTCTTTTTAACTTTGGGTTTTCCCATAAGCAGGGGGCTCTGGCTTTTTTACATCGAGCCCTGCCTAGTTTGGTTAATCTGGTATTTAGATTTGGATATTGTGATCTGATTAATTATATTTTATCTATTCAAACCCAGCATTCACCAGGGTATGCTTTTCTTGGAAGTGCCTTTTTGTCTAACTTTCACGTTGAATTCTTTCGAATTTGTATGGCAATCTTGACTGCGTCCTAGCAATGATCTTCTTGCAGGCCCCAAACTAACATGGTCAGTAATTCCGGCTAGGGTTTTTTTTTCTTTTATAAATTATTATTAAGGGAAGAGAGAGGGTTCGAAATTATGATAATAATTAAGGGGAGAGGGAGGTTCGGACCCAGAACTCTGTAGAGACACAACACCCTATCCACTAGGAGATTGGATCACATGCTCCAACCGAGGGTATTTTTAACAATTCCCTTTACTTTTTTAGCTCCTGTTGCAAAACTTATATAAATGTGAAAAACTCGACGGTTGGAGGCCAATTGCTATGAATATTAAGATTGACGGAGACTCGTAACCAAATTGAACGTTAAGAGGGTAAATCGAACTCGAAGAGAGTCACAAGTTCGAGGGTGTTATAAATTTTTTTTTTCCTTCCAACTAAGTAGGCCATGACTCATTCAAAAAACAAAAAAGAAATTTCATGGGGCATCAATTTGGCAGTTGGTGTAACATTATGTGGATTTATTTATTTAATTTGTGGCCCCTTGAATATTGACAAAGAAAAGTTATGGTGTTGGCAACTAGCTAAATTTTGTTGGCTTTGCATCTTGGATTTGGATTATGATCTACCGTTTTGGAATCAATGTGGTAGTTTTTATTTTCTTTTATTTTAAGAAAAGGAAACCAATTGGTGGCGTTGCCAGCAATCCATCTTTTCTGAGGTTAGAAAAACTTACATAGGTATTTCAACTTCTTCCTGGCAACCATCGTGTGATTCACTATCGCCAGGAATCGAACCCAAAACGTGTTGGATGAAATACGAGTCTGAAATTCATCTCCAACCATTGAGCCACCTCATAGTAGTTGAATCAATGTGGTTGTTAGAAAGCCAAAGTTTGTATTGTTTTCAACATCCAACTCCCTCAAAGTTGTCTTGAGTTTAATAAACGTTTCACATGAAAACATCAAGCACTTTTTTTAATGGCCTATTTATTGGAGTAGGATTCTCTCCTCTCTTTTTTTTCTTCCCCTCCTATTTGAATGGTCACGATTAAACCATGTCAACATTTTATATTAATTTTTTATAGAAAGAGATAGATAAAATAAAGAATATGAAAGGAGAGGATAGAAAAAGGAAGGGAGAGAATCATATTCCCTATGTATTTGGTGGCATGTGGTGAGGCAAACGTGCGGTGTAGAACAAGTTAGGTCATACTAAATAGAAACCGAGAACAACTTATATGCACTCAGAATACTATGATTTTGATGTTTTAAGTCAATTAAGCGATGAAATTAAAAAATAACAGACTTTAAAACAACTTTACTATGGCATCCATGACATCAAAATATCTCATGTGAACCAAATAAATTAAGTCTGTTCTTTATATGAACACTGTCAAAATAGATGAAACTCAATAGTCGATGAGTTTTAAAATAGATTTCATATTACATATCTCGGAAATGTAAAGTGAGATGTAACCGTAATTATTACCTTTTGAATTTCCGTATTTTTATTGGAGATGCTCTAATTTGATTGCAATTAGTTCGAAAAATGTCTGTTACAAATCCTCAAAGTTAATCACAGTAATGAGCGAGGATTTGGCAATGAGTTAAGTTACGAACAATTCCGCCAATTTGAAATGAACCCCACAAGGAATTATATCACATTTTAACAAAAATGTTACAAAACTACATGGCCACATGAAATATGACATTTTTGTGGAAACACAAGAATCTAGCACAAAAGAAAAAAGATATTAAAATTAGTACTCTTTTGGATTCTGATGATGAACATAAATTAAATTACAGAGTGTGATTTGTACTATGCAACCACCAATTTGGATAAGATCATGTGCCCTACACATTCTGGAAAATTCTGGAAAATGTTTTAAACAAAAAAATTAAATAAGCAAATAGGAGGCAAATGATCTTCTTGCAGGCCCCAAACTTACATGGTCAGTAATTTCGGCTGGGGTTTTTTTTTTTTTTTCTAAATTATTATTAAGGGAAGATAGAGGATTCGAAATTATGACATAATTAAGGGGAGAGGGAGGTTCGGACTCAAAACGCAGTAGAAACACAACACTCTATTTATTAGGAGATTGGACCACATTCTCCAGTCAGGGGTATTTTTAACAAGTCCCTGTATTTTTTTAGCTCCCATTCCAAAAATTATATAAATGTGAAAAACTTGACGGTTGGAGGCCAATTGCTATGTATTTTAAGATTGACGGAGATTCATAACCAAATTGAACGATAAAAGGGTAAATCGAACTCGGAAGAAAGTCACAAGTTCGAGGGTGCTATCAAATTTTCTTTCCTTTCAATTAAGTAGGCCATGACTCATTCAAAAAATGAAAAAGAAATTTTATGGGGCATCAATTAGGCAGTTGGTATAACATTATGTGGATTTTTATTTTTTTTAATTTGTGGCCCCTTGAATATTGACAAAGAAAGTATGGTGTAGGCAACTAGCTAAATTTTGTTGGCTTTGCATCTTGGATTTGGATTATGATCTGTCGTTTTGGAATCAATGTGGTAGCTTTTATTTATTTTTTTATTTTAAGAAAAGGAAATCAATTGGTGGCGTCGCCAGCAATCCATCATTTTTGGAGCTTAGAAAACTCACAGAAGTATATCAACATTTTTCTAGTAATCATTGTGTGATTCACTATCGTCATGAATCAAACTCAAAACGTGCTGTGTGAAATACGAACTTGGAATTCGTCTTCAACCATTGAGCCAGCTTGTAGTGGTTGAATCAATGTGGTTGTTGGAGAGCCAAAGTTTGTATTGTTTTCAACATCCAACTCCCTAAAAATTGTCTGAGTTTAATAGACGTTTCACATGAAAACATCAAGCACCTTTTTTAATGGCCTATTTACTTGGTGGCATGGGGTGAGGCAATCAGACGATGAAACTAAAAAAATGATAAACAACTCTACTGTGGCATCCATGACATCTCATATGAACCAAATAAATTAAGTCTGTTCTTATATGAACACTATCAAAATAGATGAAACTCAATAGTCGATGAGTTTTAAAATAGATTTCGTATTTACATATCTCGGAAATATAAAGTGAGATGTAACTGAGATTACTACCTCTTAAATTTTCATATTTTTATTGGAGATGCTCTAATTTGATTGCAATTAGTTCGGAAAATGTCTGTTACAAACCCTCAAAGTTTGTCACAGTAACAAGCGAGGATTTGGTAATGGGTTAAGTCATGAACAGTTCCGCCAACTTGAAACGATTCCCACAAGGAATTATATCACATTTTAATAAAAATGTTACAAAACTACATGGCCACATGAAATATGACATTTTTGTGGAAACACAAGAATCTAGCACAAAAGAAAGAAGAAGATATTAAAATTAGTACTCTTTTGGATTCAGATGATGAACACAAATTAAATTACAGAGTGTGACTTGTACTATGCAAGCACCAATTTGGATAAGATCATGTGCCCTGCACATTCTGGAAAATGTTTTAAAGAAAAAAAATTAAATAAGCAAATAGGAGGCAAACAACTTCTGATTGGTCACCTAACGTGGAACTGACGTGGATGGGCCCAGAATCCTACTCAGCATGGGTCCCGGGGAGGAATGTATTTGGAAAATCATCATGCAGAATTCATGGAATCCAGAACAACCTGCAGTTTCTATTTCCCACTTCCATGCTACTGGATAAAATATTTATCTTTATTTTCTAAAATATTTGGATAAGTTATTGGATATGGTACAATTTGATAATTTTGTACTGAGATGTTAGACCAACTTTATTGTCGTATTTTTCTACTTACATTATAATCTCACATACCATAAAACATTAAAAAATTGAAATATTATTTTCACATTCACTATTATTCCTAAAATAACCTCTAATATACTATTTCCCCACACATTATTATACATAAAAATTGAAATATTCCCAAACAACAAAATCTCCCCCGAAAATAATTTACCAACAAATGAATGACCCTCCGAATGTTTGTTGTTGTGTGATTATACACTCTAATAACTACCATCAACATCCAATCATCATCAATTTTTAGCTTCTTACCCTTTAATTGGAAAGGGCATCTACATTTTTACATTCCAAAGTTCCTTCTATTTTCATCCTTTATGTATTTTCCGCCAATTTGGCTTACATATTGTCCTTTCCTTTCACAACTCAATGTAAATCTAAAGCTCCTGTCATTTTTTTAAGCCCAATCCATTTTTATTATTATATATCGTTTAGGTTCTTATCAGTCCTTTTATAAATGGGCAAACTTGTTATAAAAAAGTTCACTAAAAAGTGAGCCAAGAGATACAACACTGAAGTAGGAATAACAGGACTCTTTTGCGAAGTTCGTATTTGGAAAATTGATCTTACCAAAATTCAATGTAAACCTACGCCCAAATAATTGGTTGGTAGTCGGTACATTGTGAGCTCTAAGGTTAGCAATTTTCACTGTAATTAAGAATGCTAGCAAATTTTTCCCTCACTATCTCTCAAATTCATAAGGTCATATTCTTATCACTCGGAACATTTTTGTTTTACCTTCTAAATTCATATCAATCTTTAAAGATTTACTCCGCAATAAAACCAACCAAATTAGAAACCATTTAACCATTTGATTAGGAATCTAAAATTTTCAGCTTTTAAGAAGCATGAGCCGTCAAATCATGGAGTAACCGTCAGACGGTTTAAGGGTGGGCGCGGTTTGGGTTGTGAAGTTTTAGGTCAAAACGAAAACCAATCAGCATGCTTCAATTTTGCTTAACTTCCAAACCACAATAGCTTAAAACCGATGTAACCGGGTAACCAATATCGCGGTTTGATTTGGTTTGGTACGGTTTGCGGCAAGCAATTCCCGAATGAAAATTTCAAAAATATAAATAAATATATTACAAAAGGGTAAATATTTAAGAAATAATTGGAATACTATAAAATTAAAAAAGTGATATTCACACACTCTTTTTAACTTCTCAAACACCATTTTTATTTTTGAACATCTGATTGAACAAATCAAACAAAAACGACAAAAATAAAGAAACGTTTGTACGAAACTAAAGAAAGTGTGCGAAAATCACTTTTCTAAAATTACATTATTTCATGACTTCATTTAAAGAGATTGAAACAATTAAGAATGCCGGCAAGCTTTAGCTCACAAGAATTTTCCCTGGGACATTCTCCTCCTGTCAAAGTGGCAAATAAACTTAACACAACGTTCATAATGCAATAAAATTTGTTTAATTAAACGCTGTTTCGCCCACCTGACCTCTCTTATTTCCGCCCCAACCTTATAACTAAAACTTAAATCATAAAACAAGAATGCTGCTATACCCACCCACTTATCCTATTTTCTCCGCCATAGGAGAAAACAGAATAAACGGACAGACATAACAGCACTCTAAATCAATTTTCAATGTTCACAATTGTTAGATGCAACAACCATCACCTAAACCCCTAAACGCAACTTTGAATTAAGTTCAACTAATTGAAAACTTTTATCTACTTACTTCCCAACAAAAGGTCAAATTAAGACTAATTTGGGAAGAGGAATGACAAAAGCTTGTGATTAATTAAACTTAATTAAAAGTTGGATGCCAATAAGTTGGATGCCAATAAACCAAATCACAAAAAATCAGGTCTCGTTTGGATATGCTTTTAAAATAACTAAAAGTGCTTTTAGAGAAAAATGTTTTTAGGTTCCAAAAGCTCTTAAAGTGCTTTTTACAAGAAGCACCAGTTATGTTCTTCCAGTAAGCACTTTTAAGTGCTTTTTCAAAAGCACTTCAGTTATTTTAAAAGCACTTTCAATCATTTTAAAAGCACATTCAAACGAGCTAACCAGCAAACAGATAATTGACAGACAGATGGCAAACAAGATGTAAAATTGTGAGAAAGCCTTCATATACTATCCAGCGTGAACGATTATTTCATAAGTTGCTTTTGGAGCCCGAGGTGTCGAGCTTCCACAAAAGCAATACTTCAAATCTCCGTTCTTTTGTTCAATCACCAGGCATTCAAAAACAAATGCATACACTAAAGATAATGGCATTCAAACTTTGTAACACATTGTTCAAATCATCTTCCTCGTAGTATACCGTTATGCAAAGAAACACTTACGAACGACAGAATTCAAGCAAAGCAAGCAAACAGATTTTGCCTCAGAGGTAGTGACAATATTAGCATATATCATCATATCTATATCTGATAATACGTGCATTTGAAATGCATCATTGGCAAAACTTAAAATTCTAACAACAATACTAATTAAGTGCATCAGAGAGATTCCCATCGACAATTCACCATCCTCCGAAAGGAGTTCTGATGTCCCTGTCTGTTTTATCGTCACGTGCAATACATAGGAAAACTAACCAAAAGTCCTCAAGAACTTAATGAAAAATGACAAATAAGTATGTAAGTGAATAGCACAAAGAAAGGTAAAATGTGATTTTTCGTTAAAAGTGAACAATACCGAAAGTATTTCGCTAAAACTCCCTACATTCAATCATAAAAACCTCAAATGCAATCACATAAAGATATAGACACTACATGACTCATGTTCCCGGTACCCATAAAAATTTCTCGGCCGGATCAGAAGTAAACAATCCTGAATCATGCAAGAACACAAATCAATGGCAGTAAATAAAAAGTTCAAATGCATCAGAGAGATTCCCATTTAGACTAGTCATCAATCTCCAATGGAGTGCAGATGTCCCTGTCTGTTTTATCATCATTTGCAACTCCAAACACCCACAATTTTTAATCTAATTACCTAAAAAACCAAACTTTCTTGTCACCCATGAAGCATAAACTGAGAATTAAGCATAAAGATCAAAGATTTCAACCAGAAATAAATAAAGATTAATAATTTCAGTAAAACATCAAGAGTAAAATTGGTAAAGAAGTGTAAATCCTCATGCCTCAGATGTAAATTTGTTTCATAGAATTTACTCTCAAAGTATATTTAACGCCATCATAGGCATGGGCATACCTTCTTAATAATAATACCATAAATAAATAAATAAATAAAACAGATGAAAAGACAGAGCAAAAGAATATCAGAAAAACAAAACAGATCAGAAATCTTATGAACAAACAGAAATTCAAGACCAAATTAAACCTGGGATTGTGGTGTGAATCTCAAATTAAAAAGGGCAGGTTGGAAGGGGCAGAGATGGAGGTCGTGGAAGATGGGAGAAGAGAGGGTACTGAGTTAGGGTTTTGACTGTGAGTGTGATTATATATAGTGAGGGGGGAGGAATTAGGGCACAGCAAAAACGTACAGTTTGATCAGGACCGTTCATTTGTGACACGGTGGTGGGTTGGGCTAAAAAGCCCAAATATGATAAAACAGCCTACTATTAATGGACCCAATCATCCACTGGGGCTTCCAAAGTTATAATCCAATGTCCAGAGTCGGCCCATTTTTGGGTTGGGTAGGATGGGGACTTTTTTAGGGTTTAGGGCTTAGAGTATTGGCCCATAGTTGGGTTGGGTAGGAGATGGATTTTGTTAGGGTTTAGGGTTTTGGAGTTTTCAAAGAACTTAACTGACATCATGGAAATTGTGAACGGAAAATGTGCAAAGTAAGTGAGATAAAGACTTAGCCCGGTTCCCAGAGCATCCCAATGAAGGGTTTTATATGAGGCCGAAAAAAATTATGAGAAATCTTTGAGGTTTTATAAAATAATCTCTCCCAATAAGGGGGTTATTTTTTTCAGACTATATTTAGGGCTATATATATTTATTTATGTAGTAATTTGATTATAAGATATTTTTTTTATTAACTTTTCTTAAGTTGATTTTTGGACGTGCTATCTTAAACTTTTTTTATGAACCTTCCAACCTAAAAATGTTCAAATTGTGACAAAGTTAGATTTCATCATTTATGAATTGTTTGTTAGATTAAATTCTCTTATGTCAATCTCATCCATTGAAAGATACAAACCCACTATGAAATAATTTGATTTTCACGTACAAAACAACAATTTATCTAACATCAATTGGTATATTAGTATCATACAATTTTGAAAAAGTTTGTTTGAAAATTTCACCCACAATGCCATTGAGCGTTAAATCAATTTGAAAATTTTAATTCTTATGGAATTTAAAACAATAATTAATTAGCCAAATTGCAAGAAAAGTATGTAAAGAAAAAAGAATTTAAAAAAAAAGGAGAGTATAAGTGTATTCGCAAGTGGAGGGAGAGTGATAAAAAAATTTCATATGAGTTGCTACTTTTTGTGGGACCCACAACTTTTTGGGGCTAGATGTAGCCCAATTTTATGCTACCCAATAAAGGAAGTTACTAGCTCCAGTAGTGGATCTAGCTCCATTTTCCTGCTCATTGGGGATGAAATTTCTCATTGAGGCTTGAAATATTGTAGCCTCATGGAGCATAAAGTCCCCATTGAGGATGCTCTCATAAATAGTACATGAATGACCTATATGGTACTTGAAATGTTGCAATCTTTTATACAGGCTAAATGCTAAGGGGACTCTCTCACAAGTGAGATTTTTTATAATTTTCAGTCATCTCATGTTCTTGGTACAATGTTTTATAATGTTGACATGAGAATTAACGTTAAACTATGAAGTGACAGAGAGTTATATAGATTCCCATTTTTTAGAGTCATCTTAACATTTTCTCTTCTATATGTGTAGGCATTGGCGAATCCACACAAGAGATAGTGTTTGCACCTGAGTCACTACTATTACTACGTGTGAAATTTGAAGTTAATTTCATTTTCTCCTGATTATGACTATAAGTCTATAACGGGTGCAAAATCTTTGACAAACGAAACAGTATATAGTCAAAGTAGTGTGCGAGTTCATCTTGATATTTATAAGAAAATTTTCCTTGATTCCCTACCGAGCTTAGAGATATGACATCTTCGATAAGTATTTATTTTTCTTTTTAGTTTTATATTGTAACTTTTTGATGAGTTGAGGAAGTAAGAAATGAGTTGCACTTATTTAAATTTAAGAATATATTCCTTCCATGCATGTCACAAAATATGCATTGCGATGCTTACCTATCTGGCTCATTGGTATCTCTTCCCCTAAAAGCTGCTTTACCATTGGCAAGATAAAAAGGAGCCGAAAAGATTAAGGAGTTGTCTCCAAGTTAAACTTGATTAATTATCTTTAATCATGGATTCATGATTCGCCCAAACTTCATCTACTTTTCCATATGTATGCACTCGAGGAAGATAATTCTTTCACGCCTCCTCTTGCACGTTATCTCCATGAATTCTGGCCTTTTGTGTAAACTTTCGGTGTTCATCACAAATAGTTACTTGGACCGAAAAAAAAATCACAAATAGTTACTAGTCGAGGTATCAAATATAAACTCGTTATCTAAGTAAGTGGAATATGAAACATTCAACTTACAAATTGATAAATTGCAAGTACATTGGAACCGAATTAATATATATATATGTATAAAACATAATTGATAATCGAACCGAATTAATATATATGTATAATTTTAATTTTAAATATATAATTGATGCAAATTATTGTAGATGCGTTGGATTGGTTGAGATTGCCTTCGGTCTAGCATATAGCCATCGACGACGTCGTCGAGTCAACGTCCATTGCCATCTAGTCATCGCCCATTGCTATTGGAGCCGTCGTCGTCGATCCAAAGCCATCGTTGTCGATCTAGAACCATCGATCTAGAGCAATCTATAATCTCAATTGTTGCGGTTTCAGTATAGATTTTCAATTCCCAAACATATTCGCATCATTTAACCCCCGAAACCAGCCCTAATTGTAGTTATGAAATAAGCATCGTGCTTCAAACTTCAAATCAATTAATTTGAAAAAAAATATATATATATATATATATATTATAATACAACGAATTATGATATATAAAAAAACAATAACCATGCATGCCTCAAAATAATTTTTTTTCCCTAAAGTAAAGTAGCCAAGTACTTTGAGAGAGTAATGTCTACATCGGTTATGTATAGTATCTTAGCTATTTAGTTAGGTTGCCATCAACCTAGATCAACATCGACAACTTATTGTCATATAATCTGAATGTAATCTTGCACTTTGTCTGTGTTAGAGAACCGTCGCCATTTTTGTTTCTTGTATTCTTTATTAAAATGAGCAAATATTATATAATCAAATGCACTGGATTTGGATAGTTATCGTCTTTTCCCTTACCTTTTTTTTTTTTTTTTTTAACCCAGAAGTTAATTCTTATATATTATAGAATACAATTAGAGTCTTATGGTTTATTTCTTTGCACCAAATACATTGGATTTGAATCTTCATTCCTTGTCTCTTTTTATTTTGGAATTGTCTACTCTAAACTATGGAGTAGTGATTTGAACTTGAGTGCAAAGAGGAGAGCATATTGCTGTAGCAAAGTTAATAACGCCCTAGTGTGTTGGAACTGCTTTTATATATGGAGATTAATAACCTTCTTATTACTGGTTACTGAATAATTCCATTTGTTAGATAGGTCCAATGAATCGATATTCATAGGGTGGTGCTATCCTCACATCCCCTATTAATTTACATCATTTAATTTTCTTCAATTCATTCAATCTAACGATCAAAAATATAAAAATATGTGTAAAAAATAAAGAAAGATATGTGAATAGCACCACGCTATTCATATCATATCTAGGGAAGTAGGATTTATCTGCCAGATGACTATAATTTGTTAGAAAATTTGACAAGCTATAAAATATCTTGCAACTTGCGAACAATTTTGTTGTCTTGTTAATCCGTTTCGCCACATATAAATTCAGTTACTAATTTACGATTTTCTCTGACATTTCTGGGCTTATATTATCGTCTCCCTCTGTGTGCCGTTTATATATATTGACTTATTGTTCACATACTCAGTTTTTCCTCCTCTGCAATGAACGGCAGGATTCACATTTTCTTCATTAATTCTAACTTATGCAGCGACTACACCTCGGTGCACCCCTGAAAAAATAGCAATGTTATTGTTTTATGCCCAACGATTCTCGTGAGACTGTAAATTTAAACTACATATTTTGATAAGAAACAAATATCCAACGAACTGTAGATAAATAATCTTATGTTGATCATATATAATCATGTATATATTTGATCACGAATTCAAAAGAAAATCAAACGGTGCAGTTGTAGTTTACCCAAAAATATCAAAGCTTTGAAAGAGAGGCTTGAAAAGTGGCTTTTCATGATTCATTCACACACGTATGCATGGGTCAATTTGCATGATGTATTT